TGGTTTTAGAACATCCCTTACCTCAATTCTCTACATGGGCATAATGGCACTGCTTTCGCAACCTATGGTCCTGCAGTCTGTCTTCCTCATAACTCCTCATTCTTGGAGTGTGCCCTGCCTTGAGGGGAAAATTGACTCTTTCCCCCTCAATTTTGCACTTATGGCAATATGATTTTTTTGTTTTTGTTTTAAAAGGGGGAAACAGCCTGCTTGGGAATAGAAAGGGAGAGAATTATGTCCTTTGATGCCACATGATTGCCAACGTTTTGGAACTACAGTGAAGGGGGACTATCTCGTAATGGAAAGTAATGGATCAATAATTGAAAGGCAGCAATATTGAGAGCCAGTGATGGCATTTACACAATAGTGAAAAGGTGCCCTACACAGCTTTTCATTGAAGCAGGAAAGACTTGGTGTAGTGTGATAAATATCTTCTAAAGATGTAATAATTCTATTGAAATTCGACTTTGCCAGACTTGTGAGACAACAACGTTTGAGTTTCTCTCCTCCGAATTGCCCCTTTGCCCTACTTCCAGTGCTGCAATCTGAGTTCAAAGTGCAAAAGTAGTTTGCAGTCAGTTTATTCAATAAAGGGGAGAGAAGAGGGATGGATTCTTGCTCTTCTCTCAGGCAAAAGCAAGCTGCTGCAACATCTCCTAACTTATCTATCCATCTTTTGCCATCCTGAACAAATTCTGTTGTTGCTTGACTCTGATGTTACATGTACTGGTTTTCATCTGTGAAATGTTAGATGGTATTCCTTGCCTTAAGAAGCACTCTGTGAAATTAATGTGGTTGCCATAAGTCAACAGGCAATGTGAAGGCATACATGCCCACACACAAACACACACTTACAGACCCTTCAGAACAAGAAGCAATAATAGTTTCACACACACCCAATCAACAAGATGCATTGGAATAAAACTTTAGGTTGTTGCTGGAACATAGTAACCCCATGGAAAATTCAACTTAACTGCTCACCCACCCACCCCACCGCCATGGGTTTTTGTCAAATAATTGCAATCAGCCCTTCATATTCACTCGGATTCAGAGTACAAAAACCTCTGTGAAAATGGAAGAACCACACATTTTAAAATTTCTCTTTTCTTATGAAAGAGTAGACATCTCTAGCAATCTGTAAGTCTTCCAGCACAACTCTATGGGCAACTGAATTTGAATCTTGAATTGCATGAAGAGAGAGTTATGCCAGCTGGGGCTGATAGTTTAACAATCTGGAGGACTGCAATTTTTTTAAAAAGTTAAAGGTGCTACCACATTTCTTTCCCCTTCCTTCCTCCTTTTAATATTTGAGCCAGGTGTATTTGTCAGTGCTTCCTGCCCATCCACAGTTGCATTGTAATTGCTTGTAGATGCTATACCTGAGCCCTGCAACTCCATCTGTTGTCTTCTCTGCATATGAGACTTCCCACTGTCCACAGAGTCCTGACATTTTCTTCTCTCATCTTTCAGAATTCGATCAGTTTTAAGTTGAGTGCAAAAACAATGGGGCAGTGTCTCCTAAGCAAACATCAAGTAACTTCCTGAACTCTTCAACTTCCCTTCAGCTTCTTTCACCCTTGGGGGGTCTACCACAGAAAGCTTTTACTTGCTGACTGAAAGAGTTCACTTTAACTGAATATGCAAAAGAAATCGTTCCAATATAAATGTCAATTTGCATTCTCAGCTTTTGGCAGAACTGTCCGCTAAGGATCTGTGTCCAGACATCTAAATGCAGATTATACAACCTTGTCCCTTCTGTATTTTTAATAACACAAACAGGTCCTGAGGTGGGGAAAATAATGACTTCAATAATTATCTGAAGAGCAAGGAGGAAACACAATCCAGCACTGCAAGATTTGTATGCCAAAAGTCATAAGTGCTTCTAATATTAGATAGAGTGAAATGTCTGCCTCAGGCAACAGTTTGGAGGCGTCATAAAGGAAGCAAAATTGCTATTTATTTACTTTTGTTATTGTATTTACTGTCAAGAATGGAGAGGCATGTTTATGAGGTTGGCTGCCTCATGTACCTAGCTAAATAACTTGGCTAGGTCTGAATATTATGCATTCAACTTGTGTGACTGGATAGTGGCATTTACTGCACTCCCTCAGGCAACAAAGTGCCTCAGGGCAACCCTGATTAAAGCCTTAGGACTTTATTGCATGGAATTGACACAGTAGTGCAGTGGTTCCCAACCTGTGGTCCGTGGACCACCAGTGGTCCGCAAGAACTAAAATATGGTCTGCAGCCTCACCATTACTACACCATTGCATCGAGAGTGACTGGTTTCACAAAACCCTCTTATAGTGCCAAGGCTTATTAAATATCGTTTTCTGTGGGCAAGCAGATGGTGACTTCTAGATGGCATTTGTTCTGTATCAGAAACTAGAGCTGATGTGGTCTATGCAATGAAATTTTCTGAACTAGCACCCCAAATAACCAAACCGAATGTAAAGTTGACCAAAAATAGATTTGTAATTCTTTGAGTACTAATGTTGGAGAGTGGTCCCTGGTCAAAGTGGTTCCTGGTCAAAAAAGGTTGAGAACCACTACTGTAGTGTGATCTCCATTGCTGGTCTGCCACCTCTCCGCAATGAAGCCACTAGGGGATATTGACAGGCAAAGCCATGATCCTGGGACATATTTTTAGTAGTGGGTCCAGGCACGTCTGTGGCAGCATCTGCTACACCCCCCAACTTTGTATCTCATTAGAATGACCATGGCATCATAAATATACCTAAAATTTTTGCAGTCAAGCATGAGAGTACTTCCAAAAAAGGCTTTTTTTGTGTATCCCATCCGAGTCACAGAATTTCAACTCTTTAGACATCATTCTCCCCTTTTCTTTTTGCCATCAGTGACTTTGTCCTTTCTTTTAACTCAAAGTGTTTAATGTTTTTGGAGAGTCTCCTATATGCAGTGCAGCACTATGGTTGGTGCCATAACTCAAATGTTGTCCCCTTATTTATTTGTTTGTTTGTTTGTTTATTATATTTTTACCCTGCTTTTCTCCACAGTGGACCTAAGGTGCCTTACACATCAAAAACATATAATGCAAAAGTTAAATGCATTTTTAAAATCACATGTTCTTTATAAGCAATTAACCCCTCCTCCATATAAAACCGCTTCGACATACAGGAGTTTTACCTTAAAACCTTAACCCAGCTCTAGATGGATCTCCTCCTGTACCTGATCATACCACAACTGTGTAGTTTAGATACCAGAAAATCGATGAAATCAACAACTATACAAAAGCCCAGCACAAACAAAAAACAAATCTGCATTTAGAGTGTTGTTTTAATTGGGTTATAAAGACAGCACTGACTGTAGCGTTTGCACACGATAAGGTTCAAAAAAGTAAATCAGCATAGAATTTTAGCCTTGTTGGTATATTGATATAGTATATATGAACTGGGCATATGAAAAATGTTTGTTATGATTATTTCTAACTACAGGAGGATTTTTTTTGGGGGGGGGGGAGAAATTCTGCTGAAACACTGCACAAAAATGTTATGCTCATTTTGGTGTCATCATCCCTTCTAATGGTGTCACCTGGTGTAGTAAGCACCTTCCCTACACCCCACTAGTGATAGCACTCTCTATCTGAAAACATGCTGAAACTGCAGCTTCATAGAATGGTTTTTTTTTTTCTCGTGTCAGGAGCGACTTGAGAAACGGCAAGTCGCTTCTGGTGTGAGAGAATTGGCTGTCTGCAAGGACGTTGCCCAGGGGACACCCGGGTGTTTTGATATTTTAACCATCCTCGTGGGAGGATTCTCTCATGTCCCCACATGGGGAGCTGGAGCTGACAGAGGGAGCTCATCCACACTGTCCCCGGACTCGAACCTCTGACCTGTCTGTCTTCAGTCCTGCTGGCACAAGGGTTTAACCCATTTCACCACCGGGGCCTCCTCATAGAATGGGTACAAAAAAAAAAAAAGAAAGAATGGAGTATTGGTTTTTTACAGTTCTGAATGTGGTTTACATATTAATAGAAATAAATTTGCTAATGCAAAATTAATAGTATTACTTTTTGGATCTTCACATGCCCCTTGCAGCTTTGTCAACTACTCTTGGCCTTCTCCTAATGACATGGTGTGTGGTATATTTTCTCCATCTGACATAAAAGATTTTATATCACAACCTTATTTATTTATTCTCAAATACCAGTCCCATTATTGTGTATAGAGGATTTCAACTTCAGAATAGTGTTGCATTCACATTCTGCCAGGTCAGAAGGTGCATGTTTGTATAAATGAGAAACATAGCTGCACTCATGTAGAGGGAAATGTCATTTGCTGTTGCTTCTGTTTCCACGTGCTTTCAGAACTGGACTTTATCTCTGCTTGTGCCCTTCTTTCTAAGTGGCAAGGGCTTATTTTATCACCCATGAACCAAAAGACACCATGCTCAGCCTTCTCACAGAAGAAGTGACCCTGTTTTGAAAGCTCCTCTGGTTCTTCCTAATGCACTGATGTCTTTCAAAACTTCCTGTGGTTCAGACCACAGTAGATATTGCTTGATGTAATGCCCAGTGGTGCAGTAGCTGGATTCCCATGTGAAAGCAAATCAAGAAAATGGCTACCCAAACTAGCATGAGGAGGAAAAGTACAGTCTGTGCTGCAGGGTGACTTTGAAGATCAGGTGGAGTTAACAGCAGGGAAGTGTTTTGTTTGTGTTCTTTTTCATATTTGTGTGGTCCTGTCTTTGTGGCTCAGACCTAGCTGAGGTGACAGCATGGTTTACATGAGTCATCAGTGTGGTATCAAAAGGTTTCAAAACATTAACAGGCTCCTCTAGCCTCGGGGCTTTAGTATGGCCCTGAACTGACCAAAGAGGCATTTCTATATACTCCTCAATGTGACTCATTGTGTTAACTCTTTAACTTTGACAAACTGACAAATTTGTAAAATCTAGTTGATGGTATGATGCACAGAGAGAGAGAAAGAAATACTCTCCATGAAAAGCAAAATGCATTAAACATTTTTTATTTAAACTAGGTGCCGTGGCAGTGCGGAAGTGTGATGTCATCTACTGCTCTTACAGGAAACAAGTAGAAAGCTGATCCGAACTTCAGAAGTGACAGTGTGCCCGCTGCTGAAGACATCACAGGTCTGTATTGTTGTAGCAATTATTTTTGTTCTTTCTTGAGATAAGTGTCTTGAACTTTGTCACATTTTTGGGGTATAATGATATGTCGTATGACACTTCCAATGGAGCAGCATAGATCTTCTGTGAATGCATTTGTCTAAAAAGAAATCAACACACAACTCTGTGCACAGGGAAGAGCTGAATGGCAAGTTGGCTGGCCGATTGCTTGGTTATTTGTTGGTTGTTATTCTTGGGTGCTTTCAAGCCATTTTCAGCTAATGACAGCCCTAACCTATTATGGGATTTTTTTGGCAAGATTTGTTGGGAGGGACTCAAAGGGTTTTGAACCCTAATCTGCCAGAGTCTTCACACCATTTCACCATGTTGGTTAATAGACTTGTGCGCAGATCTGTTTTTCTTCGCTACTTTTGGTACCTTCGGGACCACGTAATGGGAAAGGCCCTCCCGGTACAAAAACCCACCCAACATGGAAGTAAGCAGAAGCTGATCTCAGCTCATTCTCTGCTTTCTGCATTACAGTTTAATCTTTTTTATTAATCTCAGCAAACCAAAGTAAAACTGTCATTCCCTGAAAACTTCTACCAGTTACCTCTCCTCTAGAGTAGAGACTAGAAACAGTTGTAAGGGAGCTTTAAACCTAAAGCAGAAAGGAGGTTGAAGCGTGCCAGAGAAAAAGTGCACATGGCTACCTGCAGCACCTCTCCTCTAGAGTAGAAACAGCTTAAATGCTTAAAATAATGGGAAGGGGAGCCTGGAAAGCCCCCCCCTCCCCATAATGAGCTGGATAGAAAATGAATCTTTTGGCACTCCAGAGCGAAAACAGATTTCTGCTATCCTGAATTTGGGAAGCTCCCAAAAAAAGGATCAGGGCCCTCACTGAAATCCGGGACACCGAAATGGATTGCAATTTACCCAGAATGCACAAGCTCTGATGGTTCATCTTACCCACCTGTAAAAAGATGAATATTTTCGTACTTCATAATAAAACTATGTGTAGTCTGTAGCACATCTTACTTTTAAACTAGATTTTAAAAATTGAACTTTATTGTAATTAACTAAATTAAAAGAAGCCAGCAAGCCCGTGGCCACTTATTGTGGTAAAAGCTTCTTTAAATGATACGGGATATCTAAGATAACACATAAAATGTTGCGCTATGTGGCTACAATCCCAAACACAGTTATGAGGGCATCAACGTCTCTTATCGAAGGCCATGGGTTGTATATAAGGCCATTCTTTGTGCATGGTTTGTTAGTTCCTCTTACCTTGTGTTACAATGTAAGATGAAAAATATCCCATTTCTTCTATTCTGTTGTCCTTTTTTCTGAGTCTCATATGTGCTTTGAAGAATAAGGGAAACAACATTGATCCAGAAGCCTTAGAGGGGAGCTTTCTCTCACTCCCGCCCCCATCTCAAGCATGGCTGGTGGGAACAAGAGAGAGGCCTTCTCCGTGGTCCCTCCTTCCCTCTGAAACCCCCTCCCTATGGAAATTAGAACAGCCTCTTCACTCTTCTCATTTAAGAAACAATTAAAAACTTACTTTTGCACATTAGCCTATGAAGAGGAAGATGACTAGTTTATTATTGATTTTACCTTGTCTGATGATGCTGACAGGGATTATACCACCTTAACTTATTGGAGAGCCACATTTTCATATTTTTTATATTTTAATACAGATTCTAACTGCCTATTGTGTTATTTATGAGGTCGATTGATTATATATATTTAGTAATTATTGTTTTTATTTGCTTATTTTTAATTGTTTGTTTTAACTGTTTTGTTTCTGTTTTATTTTGTCATTGCACATGGCATTGAATGTTTGCCATCTTTGGTTTTGGAAGCTGCCATGAATCCCTTCGGGGAGAGAGGCAGGGTTAAAATTATTATTATTATTATTATTATTATTATTATTATTATTATTAGAAACACAACAAGATGAGTTCACAGCAGACACTCTGCTGGCTGTTGAATTGGATCACACACCGGACACTTCCCAAGTGTCTAGGACTGTGTGATGTATTGGCGAATAATGCATGGAGATCCCAGTAAGGTGGCCTTCTGCAGCTGGCAGATGGTAATTTTGTCAACGCCAATTGTGTTTAAGTGCAGGCCAAGGTCTTTAGGCACTGCACCCAGTGTGCCGATCACCACTAGGACCACCTTTACTGGCTTTTGCCAGAGTCTTTGCAGTTTGATCTTTAAATTTTCATATTGTGTCAGCTTTTCCAGTTCTTTCTCTGCAATCCTGCTGTTGCCTGGGATTGCGACATCAACAATCCATATTTTGTTTTGTTTTTTAACATGATTGTGAGGTCAGGAGTATTATGCTCCAAAACTCTGTCTGTCTGAATCTGGAAGTCCCAGAGGAGTTTGGCATGTTCATTCTCTCTCTGTAACTTTTTCCGGCTTGTGATCCCACCAGTTCTTTGTCACAAGCAGATGGTTTTTGTGGCACGGGTTCCAATGAATCATCTGAGCAACGGTGTTATGTCTCTGCTTGTAGTTTGTCTGCATGATCTTCTTGCAGCAGCTAAGGATGTGATCTATTGTTTCATCTGCTCCCTTCAGAGTCTTCATTTGGGATCTGTTGTCGACTTTTCAATTCTGGCTTTGATGGCTTTGGTTCAAATGACTTATTCTTGGGCTGCCAGAATCAGGCCCTCCGTCTCCTTTTTCAGATACCACCACCTTCAACCATTTTGAGGAGCAGAGCCTTAAACCCCATACACCCGCTATATTGCAAACTCTCCACAGTTTCAATTGCATTTTGCCACGTGATCTTCGAGGAAACAATCTGCTTGATAGAAAACAAGTTTAAAGAGCACTGAGAGAACCAGTTTTATTGCTATTTGGACTTTGTTGTTTATGAACTGTGTTCACGTTTGTCCTGAATTCCAGGGCTGTGAAAGCTTACCTGAACCCAGCTTAGTGTAGTGGCTAGTGTTATAAAAAATGATGGAAGGGCCCTTGTTTACCCAGAATGAACAAAATGGAGAAGAGAATGGAAAACCACATATGTGACCTGCTCAAAGAAAGGATGAAACATGAATACACATAAATAAACCAAAATATCTGCAGGACAAGGAAAATGCTTCTAGGTATTGGCATTGGATCAGATTGGCTGACTTTAAAATGAGAAGCAATGTGTGACCTTTTTATAAAATTCTAGCGTAAACTAAGGACTTGTTTAGAGTTGGTTTGCTATTGCCTTCTTCTAAGTCTGAGAGAATTGGACTTGTCTGGGATCAGCCAGAGTTTCCACGGCTGAGTGGAGATTCATTCCCTGGTGTCTCGATGCCATAGTCCAACATTTATATCATTAACACCATGTAATTTTAAATTTTAAAACTCTTTCTCCCACTGCGTTGATGTCAAAGGGGGGATTGCTATCAGTGGGCTTCTTTCTAGCCCTCCTGAGGGGGTAATAAAACAAATGTGGGATGGAGGGAGGTCTAAATCACAAATCCAAACTAAAGTCGTGTAGTCTGAAGCCTAGAACAGAATAAAGACCACACATAGCTTGATAATACATTTTAATGTATCATGTAGTTTGACTCTCTGGCTTTCTTCTTCAATTGGCATGTATAATACAAATATTTTGGGTCTGAAATGTTTGTTTTAGAACTTGCTTATTCTTGACATTAAGGCTTGTCTGGTGTTCTTCTCCCTTCTCATCTCACATCCACTTGATTTCATAAGGTTGTGAACACAGAGAAAATCATACAGTCTGTCATTGAATTTTGACATAGTTAAGCTCCAGAACTTGATGACTGGAAGATTGGCAGTTCAAATCTGCAGGACGGGGTGAGCTCCTGCTGTAAGCCCTAGCTTCTGCCAACCTAGCAGTTTCAAAACATACAAATGTGAGTAGATCAATAGGTATCACTCTGGCAGGAAGGTAACAGTGTGCTATGCTCTCATGCCAGCCACATGATCTTGAAGATGTCTATGGACAATGCCGGCTCTTTGGCTTAGAAATTGAGATGAGCACCACCCCCCCAGAGTCGTACTTGACTAGACAATGTCAAGGGGAAACCTTTGCCTTTAATGAAACCGATGTTACGTCCAAAACTTTGGGTCTCCTCTGCCCTTCCATGGAAGAGATATAAGAATGGTTGACATAAGTTGATTCAAGAACTATACACAGATGTACAAAATACTCACTTTATGATGAGAGAACACAAAACATCTCTATTGCCCAATGATTGTAGTGGTGAAGTCTCCAAGACTGGCTGAATCAGCTAGTGTTTTGGCATAGTCATCCATAGATCCTCAGGGATCTGTACTCAGGGAACAAAGTTTGCAAAAGTCAGCTTAACTTCAAGGATGAAAGAAGATACTGTAAGTTGGAATGAGGTTAAAGCCTCCCCCGTTCTTTAGTGGAATGAGCAACTTTTCCACAAGAGCTAAAAAAGCTAAAGGGCTGTGAAAATTAGCAGCTACGCAAAGTAGGAAATAACTAAGAAAAGGGAACCTGGGTGAAAATTAGATGCAGAAGCAAGAGCACAGAAATAAAGGAATGGGGGGTGGGGGTGGATCTTGAGAGAGAAGGCTCTGAAGAAAGCACACAGAAACAGGGACTGTGGAGTTGGGATGGGAATCCAAAAGACTAAGAACATTAAGCAAGAGGCAGATAGTTAAAGCTAGCAAGAAGAAGTTGTCTGCATGCTAATGCTAGAGAATCAGCAACTGAAGAGAGGATAAGAAAAAGAGAAAATAGGACTGTCATATACCTTTAGAGCCAGAGAAGAGGGTCATATTTGGCTTTGCCAGCCTCTAGGTTGTATGAGGCAATTACCCCAGATGGCAACATTGAAGTGGCAAAACACTAGGTGTGTGCCTTGCAACTTGTCCTCCATCTTCTAAAGTGGACTTCAGACCTCAAGTGTTGTGGAAGATTGTCCATTTTTGAATGAAAGTTTAATTTCCAGTCTAGTCCGCTTCTGGGTGTGGAATGGGAAGGAAGGACAATATGGCCCTGGTAAATTAATTTACTTGCA